AATAAGATAAATACGGTAATAGTGTTGTTGTTATTGGGGTTGTTGTTATCTATGTTGTTGTTATCTATGTTGTTGTTGTTGTTGTTGTTGTTGTTGTTGTTGTTATCTATGTTGTTGTTGTTGTTGTTGTTGTTATCTATGTTGTTGTTGTCTATGTTGTTGTTGTTGTTGTTGTTGTTGTTGTTGTTGTTGTTGTTGTTATCTATGTTGTTGTTCTTTACACCCTGATGAGTGAAACAGGCCTCAGATCAGTCTAACCGGGTCCATCTTGGACCAGAGGAGGAACTTTCTGAATGTTCAAGTCTCCCTGAGGACGATCACAGACGAGGTCAGAGGTCACCGGCTGTGATAGTGTCTAAATCTGATTAATGGCAACACTCGGAGGTAAAACGCAAGCTGAGGCCCAGATGGGACGTCTCTGGGTGTCAGATTTAATCTCAGATTTAATCTCAGGTTTAATCTCATGTTTAACTGGAGTTCACTTGATGTGTTTCTCCAGGATTTCTAACAACAAAAAACTAGAAAATGTTTTCTCACCGCTGCTGTGACTCATTAGGATCACCATGGTAACACACACACGTCTCCCTGACTGCACTTAAAGACAGGCAGGCAGAAACGTGGAGCATAAATTAATCCTCAAACAATCGGTCACTGTGGAAAATATATAAATCATATTTGAAAACTTCTCAAACCAGAAGCAACTGGTTGTCACACATTTCAGCTCTGATGTGTTTACAGTGTTTGATGGAGAAGAACTGAGAGGGTTCAAGAGACCTGTCTGAACTTTGGGGGGGGGGGACTCAGAAATACTGATGTTTGGATGGATCCAAGAAGTGGAACGATCGTGGAACCTGTTTTGAAAATGTTTTAAAATAAAAATACATGCCAAGCAATAAATTTTTATCTTTTTTCTAATATTTTATTTTGTCCTTAAAAAGATGGCAAATATTTTGTTTTAATATGATAAGAGTTTGTTTAAACAGGCATTTTTTTGTATTTCAGTTTTAATTTTTAACTAATTTTGTCTTGCTGAATTTAAATCCCCACAAAAAACAACAATTTAAAAACCTCTTTATTTTTAAATCACACAGTTTATGTCTCAATGTGTTCATTTATTTTCATTAAATTTAGCTTTATTCATTAAAATTTTGTTTTTATTTCCCCATTTTTCTTTATTTCTTTTTTTATTGTTTGGATGAGTTGCAGCCTTTTGAGCTGATATTGAGACGCTCATCTGGACCAAGTTGTTTCTATTCCTGCTTTTATTAAGTGCTAAAACAAACGAACACCGAAGGGTTAAAGAGGGCAGGGCGAGAGATGTTCAGGTGGAACCACCAGAGCTTGAAAACAAATACAAACCCTCACTGATGGAGTCATTAAAGAGCTCATGACGGAGAACGACAGGAAGTCAAAAACTGGTGATTGCCATGAAACCAGACAACAACGCTACGGAAGCCCATTCCTGCCAAATATGAATAAAAAAAAATTTAAAAAGTAAAATTGTGTTTAAAGCAAAAATCCAATGATTTAATTAAATTTACATGTGGAACATGGCAAATACATGTTCTGCACATGGGAAACAGATTCCTAAAACCATAACCACATATTCTTCACATGTGTAAAATAACATTTTCTTTTGCAATACAGTTTAAATTCACATGTGACATGTGTAACACTTTTTGCACATGGGAAATGTTTTAAAACAAAACTAGACAAACTTTACATGTGGAAAATCATGTTAAACATGGTAAATTTACATGTGACATGTGTAAAACACATTATACACATGAAAAATAAAAATTTGAAACAATAGCTATAAAAATGTACATGCTCATCCATGACTTTTTCACATATGGAAACAACGTGACATATGTCAAACAAATGTTTTGCACATAAGCTATGTAGTTCAAAAGAAAACTGCAGAGGCATCAAATGTAGAAACTTATTTTTACATGAAAACTTTTAGTTTAGATAGGACATGTAAAACGATGTGTATTGCACATGGGAATGTGTTGATTTGAAGCAAAAACCATATGAAGTTTGTATGTGGGAAGTCACATGTACTGACGTGAAAAGATGAATTCACATGTGACACATGCAAAAAAAGTTTTCCTCAGTTTTAAAACAGAAATCACATGAAAACTGTAAGTTTACATGTAACATTGTTAAATACGTTTCACATGTGAAATATAGTTTTGAAACGACAACAAAAACATCATGTATCACATTCCTGATGTGAAAAAGGTAAATGTACATGAGAAATATGCCTTTTTCATGTTGTGCACATGAAAAATGTAATAAAATTACACGAGCTTCACATGTGGAACATGATTTATTAGATGTAACATGTGAAAACATGTTTTGCATTTGGGAAATGTGGTTTGAAAGAACAACCTTAAAATTTGCAAGATAAAAAAATTTAAAACATGTTTTGTTAACATGCATGTTGTTAATGGAAAACATGGCTTACAAATTTTTTTAACGTGTTTCTGTAAACAAATGTTTTAAGTTTTTTTTTTAAATGTTTTTATTAATGGTAGGAATGGGCTTCCGTAGGCATGAGAGAACTGAACAAAGTGTTTTCTTTATTTATCTGACAAACAATATTTGTTTTTTTGCTTTCAGGTATAATTTTTAAAACTGGACTGAAGTCGCTACTGACAAGAACTCACAGAAATACATTCTTACCAACAGTTTCTACCATTTTTACACAAATGTCTCATCAGACAACTCATAAATACAGAGCTCAGCTGGTCCTTAAACGCATCACATAAAAGATCACAAGAGTTTTTACTTTAATTGCTTTAGTGTTTTAAAAATTTAGGTTTGCTTTGAAATTGGCAGATTTTTGTTTCGAAATTTTATTGAAAATTTTTTGGGATCAAATATTTTGTGTCAAATAAAAAAAATAACTGAAAAAGTAAAATTCACCTCATAGAAAACACTTTCAATGTTTTTTTTATCTATTATTTTTGCCAAAGTTTCCTTTTTTTACATGAAGGAAAAAACGTATTCAATTAAATTAAATTAACCGTTACAACAAATCTAAATTTGATCATTGACAATATTGACCTTTTGTACTTAAAAAATAAATAAAATCCCACATTTTAATTCTTTTATATAAAAGTTTACCAAAAAAATTAGTAGAAAAAGATTTTCTTGTTCACATTGTTTAGTTTTAAGTTACAAAATGTGTCTAAATTAAAATGTTAAGCTGTTTTTGCTTCTTACATTTTTGTTCTATTTTACCCATAAATTTGACAAAATTTATTGAACATGTTCTTTTAGGATTTAGTTTTTACTTTTACCACTTTTTAAATATTTATTTGCTTCAGTGTGGACATAAAAACTGTAATTAAAGTTAAAAACAGCTGAGCTCTGAATTTTGTGCTTTTAAGACAAAAGCATTTCTGTTTATTAATTTGTAATCCTTAAATATTTGACAGGTGTTTAAGTTCTACGGGTTCTAGTTGTTCGTAGAGGGCGAGTATCGGGTCCGCTCCTTCTACCAGGTTCAGTAAAAGGTTCTGTTTCCTTCACGTTTCATCGGTGAGCTGCTACGTCACCGTAACTGAACCGAACTAGAAAATGTTCTGTTTCGTGGGGAGTGTTTGAACAAACCCAGTTGTGGTCAGACCCGGTTCTGAATGGGGTAGAACCACATTTGTCCACGTGCGGCAGGTGAACCTGAGCAGCGCTGTGGAGCCAGAAACACCTGCAGGCGCAGAACGCTGTTTCGTAGACATCGCTGGTTTCCAGTTTAACCAGAGTCTCCGTGAGTGCTTCGAGTTCTGATCCGCTGACGGTCCGAGATGCGAATGGACCCAAGCGCCGTCCGAAACATCCTCCTAATTAGGAAGAGGAAGTGGCGTTCCCAGAGGATGCCACCGTGGTCTCCCTTGGTGAGTACTCCGCCTCCTTGTTAGGATGGGAGGAGTTATCCGACTTGCTGCGGCTGAACTCCGCCCCCATGATGGGCCCGGTGAACTTGGGTTTGGGCCGGACCCAGGCCGTGCAGCACAGCAGCGTCTTGAGGAAGGCCCGGCGCATCTCGTTGCTGGTCAGCGTGTAGATGAGCGGGTTCATGGCGGAGTTGAGGACGGCGAGCGCCAGGAACCACTCGGCCTTGTAGAGGATGGGGCAGGCGAGCGTCTCGCAGGCGGCGTCCAGCAGCAGCAGAACGAAGAGCGGCGCCCAGCAGGCGATGAAGCAGCTCAGGACGATGATGACGGTCTTCAGCAGCGCCAGCGACTTCTCCGAGCTCTTGCTGTTGGCGCCAGCGTTGCCGCGGCCGTTGGTCACCTTGCGGAAGACGAGCTTGCGACTGCGGGTGCGCACCAGTGCGTAGATCCGGGCGTAGAGCACCACGATGGCCAGGAGGATGACGCAGAAGACGGTGGTGCAGAACAGGATGTAGGTCTTGTGGTAGAGCGGCAGAACCGTGGAGCACTGCGGCATGCTCTCAATGCAGTTCCAGCCCATCACCGGCAACCCGCCCAGAACGGCTGCGATCATCCACACGGTGCTGATCAGGAGGAAGACGCGGCACGTGTTCCCGTTGTTGTGCAGCTTCATCTTCAGCATGGTGAGGTGGCGCTCAATGGCGATGGCCAGCAGGCTGAAGACGGACGCCGCCAGTGCCACGAACATGCTGCCCTCCCGGAAGAACCACTGCGTGGGCGTCAGCTTGTAGGTGTTGGCGCCGGACAGCAGGATGTTGGCGGTGTAGACGACGCCAGCCAGCAGGTCGGACAGCGCCAGGTTCCCAATGAAGTAGTACATGGGCTTGTGGAACTTCTTGGTCCTCCAGATGGTGGTCAGGACCAGGACGTTCTCCAGGATGATGAAGCAGCACACGATGATGAATACCACTGAGTCGGCCTTCAGACCCGAGTCCTGCTGGGTCGCCTTGCGGAACTTCCCGGTATAGTTGTAGTGTTTGGCGATGAGGTCGGAGTAACTGGGCTCAGCCATGGCCTGCAGCTGCAGTGGGTGTCCAGCAGGGGGCACCACGTCCTCAGACTTCAGTCCTTCATGTCAGGTGGTCTTCCTGAGGAGGAGCAGGGGGAGTCCTGGTGCTGGAGGGGGACATGGTCCTGCAAAGAGAGGCCAAAAACCCTGATTACAGCTGAAGGAAAAACCTCAAAGTCCACCAAACTGAATCTTTAAATACTCATTTTCTACTGATCTGAACGTTAAAGCTGTTCCAGTCCAACATCATCAAATGTGAGTTTAGATGTTAAGATGACAAACGGTCAAACCAAAACAACTTCCTTTTGTTTAGGAGTTCAAACAAACCTGAAACTTCATTTTTAACTTCTGTTGCTAAAGTTTTAGAAAGATGACGTCCTGTAATCAGTGAGTCTGCCTGTTTGAAGGGTGACCGGTAGTCACAGGGCTGTTTGGTATCAAGGTGTGTACCACAACCAACATGGACCACAGGAAGACCATCTCCATCTGTTCCTCAGACTACAGCTGCTCTGATTATTCTGAAGGTCCACAGGACTGGAGACAACCTCCCTGGACGTGTCCATAAGAGGACAACTGACGAGACGGGTACTATAAAAGGAAACTAAAGAGTCCAGAACAGCATGTAAATAAATGAGAGGTGAACTCAAAGGTCAAAGGTCATCATTGTCAGATCACACTGTTTGAGTCAAAGTGGACTTCATGAAGAACGACAGAGGAGGACAGCAGAGCAGACTGGACCACAAAGCTTCTGGGAGAACGTCCTCTGGACAGATGAGACAAAACTGGACTTTGACAACAAATCAGATCAGATCTGTGTCTATAGACCCCAAAGAACCCTGGACCTGCAGTGAAACCTGGAGGAGGTTCTGTTCTGGGTCAGTGAAATCTCAAGACTATCGAGGCATTCTGGAGTGAAACGTGCTGCTCAGAGTCAGGAAGCCTGGTCTCACTCGCAGCTCATGGGTCCTCCAACAGGATACAGACCCAAAACACAGAGGACTGGATCAGAACCAAACACCGGACCACTCTGAAGTGTCCCTCTGAGCCCTGATCCTGTTGAACATCTGTGGAAGGAGCTGAAACATCTGGAGAAGGAACCTTCAAACCTGAGACAGCTGGAGCAGTTTGATCATGAGTGGACCAGAACACCTGTGGACAGGTGGACCAGAACATCTGAGGAAAGATGGACCAGAACACCTGAGGACAGGTGGACCAGAACACCTGAGGACAGGTGGACCAGAACACCTGAGGACAGATGGACCAGAACACCTGAGGACAGGTGGACCAGAACACCTGAGGACAGGTGGACCAGAACACCTGTGGACAGGTGGACCAGAACACCTGTGGACAGGTGGACCAGAACACCTGAGGACAGATGGACCAGAACACCTGAGGACAAGTGGACCAGAACATCTGAGGACAGATGGACCAGAACACCTGAGGACAGGTGGACCAGAACACCTGTGGACAGGTGGACCAGAACACCTGAGGACAGGTGGACCAGAACACCTGTGGACAGGTGGACCAGAACACCTGAGGACAGGTGGACCAGAACACCTGTGGACAGGTGGACCAGAACATCTGAGGACAGATGGACCAGAACACCTGAGGACAGATGGACCAGAACACCTGTGGACAGGTGGACCAGAACACCTGAGGACAGGTGGACCAGAACACCTGAGGACAGGTGGACCAGAACACCTG